AGAGAGAGAGGGTGGGGTAGAGAGATTTAGGAGTAATATAAATTAATTTGCCACTTAGTGTCCTTAGTATATATACGTGTGTGTGTGTGTGTGTGTGTTCCATATGGCGTAAAGTAGATTATGTGAAAACGTTTCACTGAATGTAATTTGTAATAACATCGCAAACAAAAATATTATTAGTGTCCTCAGTATGTGTGCATATATTTATATATATATATATATATATATATATATATATATATATATATATGTGTGTGTGTGTGTGTGTGTGTGTGATTTAATCAACAAAGTACCTACTAAGATATAGAAAAAAGACACTGGGGAGATTAAAAAGTGCTCAATTTTTTGTAGCAGAGGGAATATTCGGTGTCTCCACGGTCGGCTAATACTTCAAGTTTCATATGTGCATAAGCATATAATCTTTAGTCACCCGACCATATGCACACAGAAAAATTAAAGCAAAAATTTAATTACCTGTGAAGACACCTTTATATATTGTAAATAGTCGAGCTCTCTCGGGATTAATCCACCTGGAATTCTAAAGACTTCTACAATCGACCATCATGGATAAGTTCTGTCCGGAGTACTCCCCAAATAACATTCCATACCCATCTCTACCTTCGTTCAACATATCCCTCAACGAGAAAATCGTGGACTCTGTAAAGAGATTAAGATAGAAAGCGTTTTTCCTACCTTAACCCCAGGAGACAACAAATTACAAACAGGAAACAGGAAACCTAAAGACACAACAAACTCCACCACTCTGTAAATTCCTGGATCCTTTCGAAAAGGACTTGTCTGACATAGATAAATGAAGTTCAACAAACGATCCGATCAATTCCAAAAAGAACTAAACAAGGATATTTGGGTAAGAGCCGACAAATCAAAAATATCTATAAATGTAATCCCTAACACTACTACAAAATATTCACGAACAAAATAACAGAAACACACAAACTAGATAAATACAATAGTAGGATGTCCGAAATAGAGATGTCACCGAAATAGCCAAAAAGTTAAACATTACAGATAGAGTAGGAAAAATCTACACTAAGGATGCTTTCATTTTATTCAAGGACCATAAACAGAACTCCACCACAATTAATTTTGATATAATTGACTTCTATTCCTCTATAACTATGGAACCTCCTGGTCAATAGTATCAACTTTGTAAGGAACTATATAGAAATAATAAATGATGAAACTAATCTCATCTTAACGGCAAGAAAGTCACTACTAATACTAAATAATTCCACCTGAATTAAACGCCTTAATGACAAATTCCATGTCCCCATAGGAGCGTACGACTCAGCCCAAGTTGCAGACCTAGTATGTTTTTACATTTTAGATGTACTTAGTAGAATTGTAAAATCGGAACTAACAAGGCTATATCGGGACGACGGACTCATCCTCATTCCTAATAGTAATGGTTCACTACAAGTGAAATTACAAAAGAAAATTATCAAGGCCTTCAAATTGCTAGGGATAGATCGAGATTTCCTCTAACCTTAAAATAGTTGACTACCTTAGATATCACACTTAACATTAATGATAAAACCTTTAAACTTTACCATAAAGAGAATGAAACCCCCAGATGTATTAATATCAAGTCTTACCACACCAGTGCAGTCCTAAAATAAATACCTACTCCCATTGGCACAAGGATTAGCAAACTATCATCCAATGAAAAAACCTTTAATAAAAATAAAGAACTATACGAAAAGGCCCTCCAAAAAATGTGGTTTCAAAAGTAAACTGTCTTAAGCAACCTCCATTAGTAATACAAATACACGAAAAGTGGAATTTAGGTGTAAAAATAGGAAAAGAAAAATCATTTTGTTCTTTCTCCCCCCCTTCTGCAAACTGTCAAGTATCAACATCGAACAATAGTACCTAAACTTAATTACTAAACACTTCAAAACCTCTCTAAATAAGATATTCAACAGGAAATCAGTCAAAATTAGCTACTCCTGCACTAATAATATGTATTAAATTATTAATTCCCATAACAATTACATTTTAAGTAAATTCCGTGGGGAAAAAAATTAACATGGAAACCCCCTGTAATTGTAGAATTAAGGAAAACTACCTAGTAGAGGGGAAGTGCGGATCCACTAGGGTAGTATATCAGGCAACCATTACCCCTCAGGAAAATACGACAGATCTTAATATTTACATTGGCATCTCTGCAAGAGAATTTAAAAAGAGAATCACAACACATAGACATTCATTCAACAATCTAAAATTAATCAATCCAAATAAATAAATAAAATAATAAACAAATTAAAAAGTGTTCCCAGCCAAAATAACAGAATAGACGACGGCAAGCAATCTAAACATTGGATGAATAAATAGCTTTAATCATCTTCCCAGACCAAAACAAACTATTAAATAAGCGACCTAACTGAATCCGCACAATTTTTTACTACGTTAATAAAACATCAAAAACCGAAAAGATTAAATAAATATATAAAACATAAAATGAAAATAAAAAAAGTAAAATAAATAAATAAACAAACAAGCCACTCCCGCCAAAATAACCACCAGAATGGATTACCCACAATGCACCACTGATCCATATATATAAATAGTCGAGAAAAAAATCGAATACTCGCGGCTTGACGATTGTGTCTAGCATGAAACAGCCTGTTTAAACTTTGCTATATTTCTAGGAGAAGGGTAATCGGCATAGAAGCGTTTATAAACAATGCAGACCTAGAAATCAATGCTGCATGGTGAGCCAGTTTTACGCTTCCGAATAAATAAATAAATAAATTGTGCTCAGGCGTGAACTGACATCCACTATGCAGTGCTGTGTCCACACTGTTTATACACACGGGGTGCAATCGGTAAATTTTCATTTAAATTACGCAAAAATGAAACTGACATCACATTTTAACAGATATATTCACCAAAATTACACAAAAATATCTTGAAATACTAAAAGTAAATTTATTCAGTAAAATCACCATTGCCTTCAACCACAGCAACCAGACAATTTCGGAATCTTCTGAAACTCTTTTGCACGGTCTCCTTATTTAAGTTGGTGAATGCTGCCATATTTCTTGCCTTCAGTTCATCTTACAAGGAATTTTGTTCGTCTCTCTCTCTCTCTCTCTCTCACTCAACTGCGCCCCACACATAATAGTCAAGGGGTTTTCAGTCTGGGGAGTTAAGTGGTCAAATGTAAGAGGTGATGTGGTTGCAGAAATTATCTGACACCTATGACTGGCTTGTGTGGCATGGTGCAGAGTCCTGTTGACAGATATAGGGTCTTCCAGCAGCCACCCTCTTGACCTAAGCCAGCATTACCTCCTCAAGGCGCTTGATGTGGGCCTGCTGTATTGAGTTTGAAGCCCTTATAAATAAGTTCGGGAGTTCTTTTCTTATCAAAACGATCAAAGTGAATCTTGCTGTGCCTTCGTAATCACCATTAGACTCATCCAACACTTACGAAATCCTCTCCACTTTCCTAATAGTGACACCCCAACACTCTGAAATGTTCATATTGGAGTTTCTGGCGCGAATGCCAAAAGGAAACAATGCGCATGCGCTAAATCAAAAATATAAAATGGCAACAATTTACCCATCGCCCCTGTATATATATATATATATATATATATATATATATATATATATATATATATATGTATGTATGTCTGCGTGTGTGTGTGAGTGTGGTTTTAAAATGACGGAGTGCATTCTTTTAAAGGAACCTTTTTGACCAATATTTCTTCAGAAAAATTCGTTGTAAAACAAAAATCAAAACGGTGAAACTTACGAAGGTGAACACAGGTAAATTTATTAGTGGATCCGTATTTACCCCACCCACCCCCCCACTCCCCGAAGAAAAATGTTGGACGAAAAAGGTTCCTTTAAAAGAATGCTGCCCGTCATCTTTAAAACCATATATAAATTCTGTGCGATAACAATTTTGTTTATATATATATATATATATATATATATATATATATATATATATATATATAGAGAGAGATAGAGAGAGGGAGAGATAGATAGATAGATAGTGTTACGAACTAATTGCCGAAACACAAAATTTAAAAAGAAAAGATAAAAAAAAAACAACTGGTTGTCAAAGGAGATGACCAAGATTCAGATACACGGATGAGGAGAAAAAAATCAACAGTAACGAACAATATACAAGCGCCAATATATAATTTAATAAGATCTAATTATAACAAGACGATACATGAAAACATTAATGACAGTGCGTGGAAAGATATTTACTATACATTTCTGTGTAGAAAGATGTATGCGTTATATAATCTGATATGAGAAGTTAAATCCCACTTCGCTTTAGTCATTCGCCTGAAATAAAAGAGAATTTTCTCTTTTCTCTTTTTCTTTTCTTTTATATTTCCCTTTTGTTCTTTTTTTTTACTTTCAGTTCGTTTCGCCAGTGCAGCAATATCTTTTGATATGTTTTGTGTTATCAGTTTTGAATCCAACAGCTGGTCGTTTACTCTCTTTTTCACATATTCAGCAATGTAGAATTCATCGTTCGTGTCTGAAGATTTGACACTGTATAAGTCTTAGCCTGCGTCTAACTGAGTGGTCACACATGCTTGTCTTCGTTGATTATCACACTTAGCAATTCAACTATGCATTTGATATATGTAGGATAGTGTACTGAGTTGAGTTGAATTGGAACACGTCTTCATTGCCCGATTTCCATTGCTTGGCGGTAACAAGTGAAAGTGATATAACTCGGTTAAGACTCGGATTCCAATAAAATCTTTTCGTTATTTTCTCGCTTGATGTTTCCTGCGATTCGGCATTTTTAGATCTCGCTTGGACCTGTTACTAGATCATTAGCTTGCCTGACCTAATTGTTCTTGTAGTCAGCGTCTACTATTACAGAATGAAAGAGAGAGGGTGAGTGGATATACTATATTATATAGTGAGGTGGAAAGAGAGATGGTTCGCTAAGTGTAAAATGTATGTGGTTAGAAGTCTTGGATGCGTAAGGATATAACAATCTATAGATAGATAGATAGATAGAGAGAGAGAGAGAGGGGGAGAGAAGTATTATTTACAAAGCCTTTGGAAGAAGCAGAATCAATGATCATTGACTGACTTGACTGGTTTTCAATTCATCTTTTTTGTTGAATCTTTACGCCTCATAGTAGTAGATATAATAGTCTTAACTGTTTCTTTTATCTCTGATGCTTTTTTCTAGACCGTTAACTCTACAACCGTGGATTGGTAAACAAAGCCTCAGCGAGATCCGAACTGATGTTCCTTATCCCTAGGAGACTATTTTATAGCGTCAGCATCATTGTCGATTTGGCTACAAAAACTTTTACCTTTTATTGTAGAGATTAGAGAAATAAAAAAATATATTATGTGGCTCATTTGACCAAATAATACAAAGTTTTGTAGACAAACTTAATTAACAAGGATAAAATGGTGTGGAATCAAAATTCATATATTTTATTTCGGTAAAGTTTCAGCACATGCTCATATGAGGGGGTGGGGGCTTTGCAAACTTGGGAACATATTCAATTCTATCAAGATCTCTTAAATCTGATCCAAGTTCGAGAGTTGCATTGTTTTTTTTTAATTTCGGTTAACGCTAAGCAATCTGATAAGTTCGTCGTAATACTTTGGTTGAATTACGGTCGGATTTTTTCCTGTTTTAATTAAACTAAGAAGAAAAGTGTTCTGTCGATAAAGCCAAGCTGGCAGAAAACTGGCAGAAATGTCAACTCTGGCGGATGAAGAATAAATGGAAGGAAACTGGATTTGAATCTACTAGAAAGAAAGAAAGAAAGAAAGAAAGAAAGAAAGAAAGAAAGAAAGAAAGAAAGAAAGAAAGAAAAGAAAGAAATGAAAGAAAGAAAAAGATATTAATGTAAGAAAGAAAGAAGGCAAAAAGGAAGGAAAAAGAAAAAAGAAGTGAAAGGAAGAAAAAGAAAGAAAGAAGAGAAAAGAAAAGAAAGAAGGAAAGAAAGAAAAAGAAAGAAATGAAAGAAAGAAATGAATGCAAGAAAGAAACAAGAAAGAAAAAGAAAGAAAAGAAAGTAATAAATGAAAGAAAGCAAAAGAAAGAAAGAAAAAAGAAACAAATGAAAGAAACGAAAAAAGAAAGAAAGAAAGAAAAAAGAGAAACAAATGAAAAATTTGCAAGGATTAAAAAAAGATCAAGAAAATTAATCAAGAGGGGAAAAGAATGAGAGATTTTATATAATGAAAGAAAATGGCGCGGAGAAATTGAACAAGATGGTGCGGGAAAAATTCTTACTTTGACCAAGAAAGGATATCAAAATAAATTGTTTGTTCATTAGGTCAAAGGTCAGATTAAATCTGGCCGAAAACCTTTCAGCACCTCTTCATGTTAGACAAGAATTATAAAAAATAAACAAAAGGCGAGAAAATACTGCCTGAACAAAATGAAGAAAATAAAAATAAATAGGAAACGGTAAAAGAAAAAAAAAAGAAAAAAAAGCATTATCAACAAATCGCAAACCCATAAAAAAATGACTCAAGCCAGAAAAATATTGAAAAGTTCGTTCCACACTGAATGCTCCATACTGGTGGCCTTGTACCAAGACTAAGATCAATTTAGTAAATGACAACAATAAACTGGTTTTTGAGTAGCTCCGAATTGTGTAATGGTTAACAAGGTAGTCTTACCGTTAGTACTATGTAAGGAGTTCTATACTAACATTTTGTTCCATACATTTGGCCTTGTGTCAAAACTAAGCTACGTTTAATAAACCACAACATATTGATCTAATATAGTACCGAGTCCATTTGTCTGCTATTTATACAATACATATTAAGGAATGGTTAGGAGTTTATTTTGATGTATTTTCCTTTTCATAAATATTGTATCCTCACCCCAGGGCCAATACTCATGACCTTCAAACAGATCTGTTAATATAACATTTTGTTTACTTTTTGTAATAAATTTCACTCAGCGCAAGGCTCGAGAGTTACTCAAGGTAGAGGGTTGATGGAGTAAGTGTATATGAAATGAATATAGGAAGTGGTAGTTTTGAGGAAAGAGTCAATATTGAAGTGTTCAGGGAAGCACACACGCGGGAGCCTGTTCAACAAAGTTGCAATTCTTGTAAAAAAAAAAAAACTTCTTCGTAAATTTGGAACACGGGAGAAATGAGGATGATTCGACTCCGTGGAAGTAACATGGCTTCTCCGAGCAGTAAATGATTAAACTAGTGAAACTACAGAATGGAGCGCTCATCTGAACTTTTGCTTTGGAAATAACAACAAGGTGGCATTGTGTCTGTGAGAAAGAGGTTGAAGAGTGAAGAATGTCATCACCCAAAAGACCGCGTAAATGATTTTGAATCTATCAAGGCTGAAGATTGTGTAGCCCAGATATGGCGGCAATACTCCATTATGTTTTTTTTTTATCTAATCTGATTCTTGTAAAGATCAGTCATGACAGAAATAATATGGATTAACTGAAATTAAGTAAAATTACAGAAGCACGGATGCCGATATTTCTTTTACATTGTCACAGTAGTGTAATGTTTAACGAGATAGTCTACTAATATGTAAGGTGTTTGATCTTCACTAAGGGCTCTATATTTGCGGCCTTATACCAGACTCAGCTCGGCTTAGTTGGCAAACATTCCTCGTCTCTTAGTCTTTCCATGACTACTTTGTAGTAGTTTCGAATCTCACACAAGTGTTAGACTAAGCTTAGTGAAAGGATGCTGAAGGCGATTAACTCCCTTTTTACAGAACAAATTTACTAACGCCCTGAGAATCCTGTGACAGGCCGTGAGTGGCGTCATATCACAAATCGCAACAGCCAGTCGTGGAAGTTGCTAATTAAACCGCGAAGAGAAAAGATGTGCCGACGGTTGTTAAAAGAACGTCCAAAAGTTATGCATCCTAAATAAGGAACAAGACATATCATCTGAGCTGGTCGTATCCCACCTAAAAATAAGACCTTCTTTAGCTTCGTCCTTGGACAGGCTGTTTGTTTCATTCCTATGAATTATAATTTCTCAGTGTTCGATATATATATATATATATATATATATATATATATATATATATATAATTATTTATTTAAAATATGATTCCAACTAGCGACATAAGAGGGTCTCATGTTTTAAAACAAGAGCCGAAAACTTCAATATAATTATTTGAATTAAATTGAGTTAAAGTAAGCTCTGTTCCATCTTCAAGAAAATTTTTGAAAAAACAGAGCTTACTTTTAACTCAATTTAATTCAAATAATTATATTGAAGTTTTCTAAACTCTTTGAAATTCTAATTCCACGTGCCATTTTTTTTTTAATGGATGTCAGTTGTCGTTATCTCCTGTTAATTCCCCTCCAAGAAATTTTTGATTCCAAAAACCACTGTGCCATGTGTCCTCAAGGACACATGGCACAGTGGTTAATGTAATGGAGAACTTGGAGAGGGGAATTAACAGAAGATAACTGATAACTGACATCCATTAAAAAAATGGCACGTGGAACTAGAACAGTCTACCCCAGTGAGCGAAATAAAGGGTTCAGTTCGACATTCCAACCACCTGAAGAAGGCCGGAGCGCACAACGGCCGAAACGTTGTAATAAATATGGCGACAAAGATGAGGACAATAGTCCGAATAGTGTAAATAATGTACATAATACCTCATCTCAGAAATATGGACAGAAACTATTTTAAATGCGAAAATTAAAAAAAAAACTGGCGATGAAACAAAAAACGAGAAATTGTTAGATTAATTTAATGACTAGCTACTTGTTCATTGGCTATAAAATCTTGCGTTATAAAAAGACGAATGTTGAATTAAACATTGCCTCACTATGGCGCCCTAAGTAGAAAGAAATCGCTCATTAACCGATTAAAAGAAGAATTTATGTCACAAATTTTTAAACGAATGAATTTTGCTGGCCTGGATTTAGAAATTTATTATTATAGATTATTGCTGTACAATAATTTTTGGCACAAGTTAACTTAATATAAGAACATTTACAAGAACCAGAAAATGGAGTTGTGTTGTCGTATTTGGGCAGGAGCGACCCAGCCCTCACTCTCCAGCCTTGAGAAAATTCAAAAATGTGTCCGAGTTCTTTTGGGCGACAAATTATTTTCCGTCCTCCAACCTCCCCTATCGCAGGCAGGATCGGATGAGCTTCTCGCTGCTCTATTGCTAGTACCATGGAAAGTGATCAAACGAACTGCATTTCTTGGATCCACCAGTTTTAACCTTCACGGCTCGGACCCACCATGCCACTCACATTGTAGCAAACCCCACCCACATTCCCTCCAGCATTTGCATCATACAATCATGGATTTCCTTATTTCCTTTTGGAGTTTTCTTCTGCAGAAACAAGAACTTCATGATGGCCTGGAGTTTGACAACTGAAAATTCTACACTTTCTGATGACATGGTTCAGTCAATGATCTGAAACAAATTCAAAAGTTAAGTTCAAGGATCCTATTGGTATTTGACAATATAAAACGACAGTATTTTCTGCTACTAGTGACAAAATAATGCTCAGATTTTGGGTCGCGGGTCAGGCCAAGGGCTTTTCAGCATACCCTTGTATGCAGTTGAAATGATAATGTCTGTTCACAACATTTTCAGTAATCTTGACCTGAGGAATAGACATCTTACCATTTCAAAAAGAGATTACCAAGCTCTTTCAACAGTGACATTATTAGTATGGGGGAATAGAAGATGGCAGATTTTTCATGCTTAATATAGTACTTAATAAGAAGTGATACCAACTCTCAACATGTTAATTCTGTATCCCTGTTACTTCCAATCTATTTCTTTGATCCATATGGTGCAATTTCAGCTGAGTATGTCTCAGTGCCTGTAGAGTATGACCCTTTTAAGAAATAAATCATGATCAAACCTAAATAATCATCTATAAAAGCTACAGCTTACCTTAAACCATCTTTAACAATAGGGCATATCAGATATTGAATTTGTCAAACAAGAATAGCACTTATATACAAGGGTTGTTGAAAGGTTCTCAGCCTGATCCACTTGCCAAAATCAATATTCTGATATTTGGACATTAAAATACTGATTTTCAGAACTGAGCCAGGCTAAGATTCTAAAAAGTTCTTGTTCCAACCAAAAAGGGAATGACCTACAGGCATGAACTGTAGATGCCATTCCACATATTCATCCTAAAGTTCAACATGCTTGGCACATAATTTCTCAAACTTCTGCAGCCCCCACTTTTTTAAAATTCTGTTGGATCACTGAAATCAGCAGCTACTACCACCCCCAGATCATTTGAAGCAAGATGTGTAGGGTGGATGCTCCATGTACCACTCAAACATCAAATTCTTCAAAACATCTATTGCCTTGTCAGTTCTGCAAAACAAGAACACCTTGACAGTAGTATTCTATATTAAGTATTTGACTCTTCATGAAAACACCTTACTTATGCTAAAAAAACAAAACAAAAAAACATGGTAATGACCTTTCTTGCTGTTATTATAAAACCAATGCATTCTCTGGCTATATCTAGTGTCTAGAGGAATTCTGTTGTCCAAGATTCCTTGATTGGCCAGAATTAGGTCATAAATATGAGCAACAATTTCTGGAATGCTGTGACTTGAAATTTCCACACTAGAAGTTAGTATACTGCTTCACAATTAAATACAATGAGTACTTGTCAGCCATCATGGATTTCCTTTTGGAGTTTTCTTCTGCAGAAACAAGAACTTCATGATGGCCTGGAGTTTGACAACTGAAAATTCTACACTTTCTGATGACATGGTTCAGTCAATGATCTGAAACAAATTCAAAAGTTAAGTTCAAGGATCCTATTGGTATTTGACAATATAAAACAACAGTATTTTCAGCTTCTAGTGACAAATTTATGTTCAAATTTTGTATCGCAGGTCGAGCCAGACTTAGTCCAATATAAAAGGAGAGTCTTTTCAGCTACTGCGAATAAAATAAGACAATGGTTGTTGAAATCTTCTTGGCTAGTCCTACTTATCAAAATTAGACCAAACAGCCAAACAGGTTTTGAGAATTCTTCAGTAACCCTTCATAAATTTATTTTTTATAAGTGTGTTTTTTTTTCTTAGTGCTTAATTTGCTTCCATTTTTATTATAGAATCACTGTGCTGTAAATAATCTTTTTAATATCATTCAACGAAACACCAACAATCAGTAGCGCCTGAATGACGAGCGGGTGTTATCGAGATTATCTCCACCGCTGGCAGACTATGTGTTTCGTCTACCTAATTGGGTTATTCTTTAGTCGGTAACTTAAGGCAATTCGTTTGTGATAAAATCCTAAGTAGAGGAAGTTGCTGCAAAATGTCTAATCGCAAAGGTGGTTCGGAGTAAAAAGCACTTCCGGCCACAGAAGTCACATAAATAGAGAGGATTTCCTTCGTTGGAGGACAATCGGCCCGAAGTCGATGACACCTAATTAGGCGACCTCTCTCCTTTGATGGATCAGGGACGGGTGTGATTTCCGGGCGGTAGACATTCACACGAAGCGATAAAATGATTACAAAGACCTACCTACCTTTAACACAACCGCTTGCTTATCGCCACCCTTTAAAAATAGAGTGACTATTCGGTGCCGCCGACACACAATTGTTGAGACCAATACACGTGCATGAAGATAATCGAGACACGTGCCCAAACATATATATATATATATATATATATATATATATATATATATATATATATATATATATATATATATATATGAGCAATATTTGCACCTTTTCAAAAAGTGAAGGTCAAATTTTAATAAAAATCGATTTTTTTTGTCTATTAATGAAAGCATGAAAAAACGATGTACAAAACATGTGCAATACTACTAAGTTTTCTCGAGTTACTTCACACACCTAATTTCAAAAGAACTGGTTAAAAAATCTTTTTAGAAAAAAGGGCACAAGAAAAAAAAAAATAAAATTCAAATAATAGTTTCTTGTTGCGAGTGGCATATTTAATGAAGCATGCATAAAAGAAGGAATGCTTCCCAATATTTAGATGTACACATGTATTTTGCATTATTCGGTCAAGGTTTGAACATTTTTGTACCTTTCTTGTACGCTCCGGCCTTTTAATAAATGTTTACTAAACCCTTTTTTCGACTGCGCTGACAGCTAATGGATGTCAGTTATGACACACAGTGTTTGATTTTTTTCAGAACTTGCATATATATATATATATATATATATATATGTATATGTATGTGTGTGTGTGTGTGTGTGTAGGGAAAGGTGATTCAAGTCGAATCCATTACATTCTCCCCCGTGCTAATACCCTTAAAGGTGTGAATCAGGACAGACTGGATTCTATAGCCTTGGATGGCAACTGGTCTACAAGAACAAATTTAAATTCAAAACCTGCGAAGGGTCGTTTGGGGTCCTTGTGGCATATAGTGCACCAGGCCTCTGTATACGGCTCTTCAAAAAAGTGTGATTGGTTCTGCACAAAGTTTTCATATGTGTTGGTGTCTGGCAGTCGGTTCCTTGAAACTGAATTGCTGACTCTCATACGTCGAATATGGCGAGAGTCCAATATATATATATATATATATATATATATATATAAAAACATTAGGCAGCATATGATTTACATACAAGAATAATCACACATAGAATTAATCAAAGTATTAATGCGATTATTGGCGACATCCATCGCTAGAAAACATAATATATGCATTAAAATCCTGTTCATCCATAGTGCGAGTTTTGATCCTTGAAGAAAAACTTGTTGTCTGTAGTTTTTCAGTTTATTTGATGTTAAAATGCTAGTACTTACGGATAGTCTTCCATCCATC